TAACTCCTGTGTAGCACCAACAGTATTTCCCTAGAGATGTGTTCACTTCAGTATTTTAACATGGGTAACTGCATCACCAATAAGTAACAAAAAAAAGAGCCCTTAAAACCCCACCAAAAAGCTCCTAAAGCAATGCAATTTGTTTATTTGAGATCACTGCTCTTGTGAGAAAGAAATGACATATCCCACATCCTTGCTACATCTTTTTCCCTGTAGCACACTCAGGGATACAATTCTAACCGGACCTGTGGGAACCAATTTTAAATAGAGAAGAAAAATAGCTTTTGAAGACAAAGTCTCACTCAAGGTAAGCCATGGTGAAGACTTACTTAAGAGGACAGTCTGTTTTCTTCTTTTACTCCACTTAGAAACAGAGCTAAGCTTACAGTTATGATCCATTACAGTTCTTTATAGGAAAACTTTCAATATGGGCAAGATCTTGCAAACTGCTGGCATTTCTTCTGTTGTGCAGAGCATCCTTACATTTGATTATGAATGAGAATGGGCAAGATTGGGAAAATCCAATTTTTTAGAGGTGACATTTGCACCATGCTGAATGGGTGAGTACCAGTCAAAAGCATTATCTTAACCTTGCTAAAACATGCTGAAAAAACACATGGTCTTTATGCTAATAATAACATTTCAGACATTCAAAATCAATGGAGATTTTAACACAGGGCTGTATGCAATCAGGACTGCAAGCTAACCTCAGGTGTATGTTTTTCTATAAGTAAAATATACGGCAAGTGATCCAAGTCTGAGCCTGCAGGTGTATTTACTAAAGTGTGCAGAGAATGAGTACAATAGCTATTACTCCAGGAGTAGAAGTTCTCATGCTCAGGACTTGTAAACCCAGCAAATGGAAACTTGAAAGTAGTTAGGAAGTCCTCACTGCACAGGTTAGAATGGATTTTGCAGCTTTTACACAAGCCTGGGAAGACGGCAACACTCTCTCTGTGATATGCTGCGACAATGTCACTGGTCACTACTGCATTGTAACAGCAAAGAAACCTTTCTGCCTTCATACCTGGTCCATCAGATTTCTTCTTGACAGGTTCCTCTTCACTGTCTTCACAGTCCGCATCAGTACCACCTATTGAAAACAATGAGCGAACAGTGAATGTTACACCTATAGAAGTGAGGTTGTAAATGACATTCAAGCTGCAAAATGCTAGTCACTAAGCAGTAGTGACTGGTTCCTCACCTACTACTGTAACAGAAAGTACATTTCCATTTCTAAAGGACCCGAGTGAGGGGACAACCCTTTCAGTAAAGATGTTCACAGATGACCACACCTCTTTTCTAATTTGCAGTGGCAGTTTCTTGCTAATCAGCTAGTGAGCAAGATCATCTGCTGGAGTCAACCCAGGCAATTTCTCAGTCACACCACTTCCCCACTCAGCAGCCTCACCTTTCGCTCACTCACACTGAAGCCCATTTCTTCAGCTTATGCAAAGGGCAACCTTAGCTGTGCTCTGATCTTCTCCTGCCTCTGACCCAGCATACCCAAATTAATTAACTGGGACTTTCAGATTGAAATGAAGCAGCAGAGCTGGTTTGAAACTGCCATGTGCTTTTATTTAGGCCTGTAGCAGAAGACTGAAATAGAGAGTTGCAGGCAGAACTGAAAGAAAAACAAATGTCTCTCCTTCTATCTAATGTCCAATAAGTGTAGCTATAGCTTTAGTGGCAGCAGTTTAATTATAAAGATCCCTCTTTTCAACAGGTGAAGATGCCAAATGGAGGAAAAATCAGATTATTTCAGCCTGAATGGGCTCCTCTCTTCCCTATCTTACACATAGAAAAGCTTCTGAATTTCTATTTTCTTGTTTAAAAAGGAGCAAAAAAGATGACGAGATATGAACCACTTAGAAATAGATTTTTTTCAGAGGCATAAATGATTTCACAATGACAGTAAAAAGCTATTAACACTTGTAGATTTTCCTTTTGCTACCTGCTGTATCCATTGTGAATTTAGGGGTTCCTGGATACTTGGGTTCCTCACTGAGTACAGCACGGAAAGTGAAAAACACTATATTCTTCCCCTTGTCTCAACTCAAGCTTCTTCAGGGAATAATACAGGAAATGTGGCAAAAAGAAATAGTATGTGACTATTTCATGGAACTTTTCTTACAGCTCCACTTGAACTACAGTCCTTCTGGAGCTTCGTCATGAAAGAGTTCTTCAACATAAAACGTAATTTTGTCACATACAACACTTTCCATGGGAATACACATAAACTTATCATTAAAATGAAAGGCTCTAAGACACACTAGAAAAACCTGTAAAATAAGATAAACCTTTTTATGAGGTGAGGGAGTGGAAGGGTAATGTCCTTGCTCTGCCTGATTCTGGCCAAACACCTGGCATTTACACACCCGTATTTCTGAAGAAATGCCATTAACTACCAGGTTATTGGCTTTCTAAGGTTATGCCTTTACAGAGTTATGGTTTTCTCTTCCAAGTACTCTACTTCCACAAATGTTTTCATACAGCTAATGTTTTCTGCAATGTCTTGAGCCTTCCTATCAGGCAAAAGTTTTGGATGTCCTTTATCTCTCCCAGTGTGTATCGTGTAGAATGAAAGGACATAGCTATGGCTGGTCTTGTCATGGGCTGGGGCAGGGAAAGACAATCAAAGGTAATCACATTTTTCCAGTTCCTAGCCAGAAGTGAGAGCACTTGCCCTCTAAATCTCAGTTGCCTTTCACTACCAGGAATAACAGGCACCCTAGTTAACATGTTTTTTGAAATATGAAAGTCTACCCACCATCCCCAGATCCCTTTCGCCTTCGCTTCTCCTCTTTGCCAAAACTCTTCTTCTCTTTGCGCCTCTGTCGTAGTGCTGTTTTAGGGTCAGTAATCCAGGCCTGATAAACAAACTGGAAGGAACATACTCATTTATTACAAGGTCCTTCATGTTTTGAGAGTAAGCCATAGAATAAGCCACAAGCAGTACTATATAGTTTGAGTGAATGCATTCAGATCTGCAGGGATAAGGAAATATTTTGAAACCCAAATCAAACACCTCCCCTGCAGATCTGCTGAGTTTTCATGCACTATTTTTGCAAGCATAAAACCAAATGTGAAAACACTTGCGGGTGAACAAAGTTTCATTAGAACCCACAAAAATTCATGCTCTGAACTTTGGGAATTGATACCCTGTCGTACATATGGGCTACTTCACCTGAATCTCTCAATTTAATTCTTTATTTCTACTTTACCATTTTACAGACAAGATGCAGAGTAAGGGAAACTTTAAAATAAAGTGCTGCAATCAACTAACTAAAGCATCATAAGATGTGTTGATATCTCAGGACAGGTATTTGTGCTTGTACATTTTTCCTACTTTAGGTATTTTTTCCTCTCTGCAGATCCCAGTGGACATTTACAGATTTGCTATCTATGCACAGTCCCAAACCTGGTACTCAGCATTTCCTCAAATTTCATCCTGATTTTGACAATAGCTCCCTTTGTTGCTTCAGATAAGTAACTTATGAATCCTTCTGCTACTTTTTTCCCAGTTGTAAAATGAAGACAGCAATAAAACTTACCTATACATCAAGGCAATTTTATGGGGCCAAATCCTGCTCACAGCACTCACTCAGATCAACAGTCTGTTGACCTGTATGACTACATGAAGCATGGAATTGGCCCAAAATATTTATAAATGCTAGAGCGATGAGGAAAAAAATAAAAAGTAAAACAAAGTTACCCAAAAGTAACTTTTTGAATCGTTCTGCTCAAGCTGTGAAGGAAGGTTTCAGAAAAAAAAGCAGTAACATTAACACTCATCTTTTTTCCATATATGACATAAAATGTGAATAACAGAAACTAAAGTAACTGTATCTTCTCCACAACAATTTAGGACAAAAGGAGTTCTTTTGTTCCTTTTATGGTTTTCACTGAAAAAGGGTAATCATCTTCAATTGGCACTGCATTGTCTTGTATTTCTAAGCATCACAGGCTGGTAACAGAGAGAGAGCAGGGAAGCATACAGAGGCAGGCATGAGGGTGAAAATAAAGCATAGTGACAAAACAGCTCTATTAATTCACAAGACAAACATGCAGACAATGACACCACCACATGTATATCTCAGTGAAGCTGGAACTGCCCCTCATAGGACAGACTGGTAAAACTTCTGTTTGGTCCATTTATGTTTTTAAAATCTGCATACACAAATTGCTTTGGAACATTAAAAGCAGTTTTTAAAAAGTGTCAAACTGACTTTAAATGAATTTAAAAGGGAAAAATACTTTGTTCTGTTTTGTGAATGCATACAACAATGGAGATCAAATTATTTTGGTACTGTTGATAAGAAGGTCATCTTCCAAATCTCTCAAAGTCTGTACATTTATTTTTATATGTCTGCCTTGTTCAAAATAGGGCAATGAAGCTGGTGAAGGGTCTAGTGAACAAATCTTATGAGGGAAGTCTGAGGGAACTGGAGTTGTTTAGTCTGGAGAAAAGGAGGCTGAGGGGAGACCTTATTGCTCTCTACAACTACCTCTAAGGAGGTTGTAGCCAGGTGGGTCTCAGTCTCTTCTTCCAACTAACAAGTGATAGGACAAGAGGAAATAGCCTCAAGTTGCACCAGGGGAGGTTTAGGTTGGATATTAGGAAAAATTTGTTCACTGAAAGGGTTGTCAAGCATTAGAGCAGGCTGCCCAGGAAAGTGATGGAGTCACCATCCCTGGAGGTATTTAGAAGACATGTAGATATGGTGCTTGGGGACATGGTTTAGTGGTGGACTTGGAAATGTTAGGTTTATGGTTGGACTCAATGATCTTAAAGGTCTTTTCCAACCAAAACAGTTCTATTATTCTATGAAAATAAGCACCATATGAGAAAATGTGTGGGAACAGAGCCACTGATTTCTCTGCTTTTAATAGGTGTTTGCTAATGCAGCTGATCTGGGGGAATGGTGATACTTAAGTGAACTAATAGAATATTACTTGCTGAAAGTCAGAAACTGTCAACATCTGCTATTGAACAGTTAGCTGAGAAACTGTACACTAGCCACAGTCATAGTGTGAATAAAGAAATTCACTATGAGGTAAAAGGCAGACTTGGAAGAGGGTAGAAGATTAGAATGAAGAAAGGGCATTTAATTAATAAATTTAGCGTAACTACTTATGTTAAGCAGTGGATATTTTAAGAGCTAACTGGGTACATACATATGTATTATTTTATATTTTTACCACTGGATAAACTTTAAACGCAGTATCTTTTAAGCTTTGGAGCTGGTACGCTCAATCTGTAATGCTCACTCCTTACAAATATCATGTTATGTGTATGGAGTGTACAATGATACATAATGCTCAAAGATAAGAAATGCTAAATGTATTCAAGGTAGATGAAAAAATGTTGAAGATGCACAAATCTTTTTTATGATGATGAAGGCAAGAAAGGTGGAGAGCTAAAAAGGAGCTTGGAGCAGAATGTGTTTTACAAAACTTCTACCAGCTTTCTGAGATCAATTCCAACAGTGTTCATAAGATACATGCAACTTCATGTGACCATCTTGTGTAGTAGTATCAGAAGAAAATGAGAATTCAGGTCTGCATTTTCTCTCTGAGGTAGCATTTAAAAAACAAATAGACCACTTTTCTTGTAGCTTGACCTCTCCAAATGTATAAAAAGTACTGCATTTACTAGGAATGAAGCTTTGGCTGTCATTATTTTTTTTTTTAATCATTCATATAAGAGGAAAAATGCAGACAAGGACAGAGGTATACATTGCATCAGGAACTATGGGATGGGTCACATACTGAGCACTCGCAAAATGTCAAGTACCTTTGCTGCTTTGATTAAATACTGAAGAATAGTTTTGGGTAGTTTAATGACAGACTTTGGCAAGGCTAAAATGGCTGAAGCAAATTTCCCAATAGCTCTCTATAAAGAAGGACAAAGCAAGAGCAATTAGTAGAAAACAAGAAATTATTAATTAAAAGTATCTTGGGGAATGATTGTGTCTAGATTATTAAGTATGGATTTACATTCATAGACTCCAATATGAAAAAAGATTTATGATGTTCACGATAAAATTTAAACAAGATGATTCTCAACTGTCTGCATTCTCTAATAAATAAAATCTCCAAGTTAACCCTTGAAGTGACTATTGCACACAATTTACACTAAAAGAAAAATCAGCAATTAAAAATAATTCTTTGGCAAACTCTACAACGAACAAGTTCACTTTGCTAGTATTTTTATTAAGACCATGTGCATGGTGGGCCAGAAGGCAAATAAGGTATGATGACCAAATGACAAACAAGCTTTTCATAAACAAAAATAATTTTCCGTTCTATACAACTCTCCTCCTACATGAAGCCATCTAACACCTTCATGTTGCACATATTGCAGAACTGGCCATCTATACAGAATACCAGGCCAGAATTTTGAAATAATGACGAGCATCTCCATTCTCAGATTAATAGTTTCAGGACTGAAGTGGACCTTAAAAAATCAGATCAAACAAACAAAAAACCCAGAGCCCAGAGTAAATGAAAGAATCTTATTAGCTTCTGACCTCAAGGTTAGAACTCTTTAAAATTTCAGTGCTTGGCTCTGGTACATCTGAACAAAATGTTGTCAACGATTTTAAAAAAAATCAGCAGAAACAAGAATGCAAACTTTCCTCTACACCTGCATGAAAACCAGAAAGAAAAATGACCTAGAAATTCATGAGGCATTTTTATGGCCCAAGGTGAATTAAATGCAAAATATACACAAAATTAGTGTAAATAGTAGAAAATAAAACTTACTTATCACACTATTTTTCATCCATATTACATTTGCCTTTTTTAAGGTCTGGAAAAAATCTTCTGTGGCATTTCTGAAAATTCTTCAACAAGTAAAACTTTAATCTTATGAAGATTAAAGCAATCCTATATGCATGAGTATTTCACTAACTTCTTCATGCAAATTCTTCATTCAAGCCAGTGGGTTCAATACCTGGTACTGTCTAACATCAACAAGCCCATTTGTAGGAACCCAGTTACGAAATTTCAGCTGTCTTTTTAACATTACAACATCCTCTTACTTCAACACAGACTGTCACTTAAAATGCAAAAATACTAATTAACATTATCCTGAAAAAGAAAGGAGAGAAAGTGATGTGGTCTCTTTTTGTGATTTGAAATGTTAAGCTCTTTATAACTGAAGGATATATTTCTCTGCTCCACTGGGATCAAAAATTAAAAAAAAAATATATATATTTTTTAAAGCACCTATTCTTTTCCAGGAGAAGTTGCTTATTTGGGGGATTATATCTGCATGGAATGATAACATCTACTCGAAACCAGAAAACCAACTGAAGTATTGTACCACAGTGCCAGAGGCAAGTCAGCTTCCTCATTTGTCTTTATTGCAAGACAGAAAAAATAAAGCTCAGATTCTTAACCTTTGTTTTTGTATTTTTGTTCCCCTCAGGCATAAGTAAATGGAGATGTAATTTTACCATAGTTCCTGTATGAATTTAGCAATGCTCAAAACAGGTAAACTTGCATTTTAAATTGGCAAGAATTTAATTTCCAATATTTTTCAGGTCTACTTTAGATGTACTGGCTGCTTTAACATATGTGCCTGTGTTATGAGAAGCCTACATTTTTTTTCCAGTTGGCGACTAGAAAGCAAATTACCATAAAGTACCTGAAATGCAGATTTTTTTCGAGGCTCTTCCTCTTCCTTTTTCTCCTCTTCCTCTTCCTCTTCGCTATCCGTCTCAAACAAATAATAATTTCCACTTCTGACCACTACGTGAAACAAAATATTTTCTTATTTTTCTGAAAAGCTCTATTCTCAACTGCCCCAAGACCTATGAACAGTCAGCCAGTCATTTAAAAATTCATAACCAGGAGAGTTGAAAACAGAGAAGAAGCAAGAGATGAAAAGGTCTCAGGGAATTTATTTAATGTTAGTCTGTGATACTTCGGGCATGAATGAGAACTATACAAGAACTAAGGAAAACATCACAATGTGAAGAAAATGTAAAGAAAAAGCTGGAAGTATATTAAGTTATTAGGTTACGTTTTTTAGAAAAAAATGACAGTTAAGTCTAAATTAATTGGGAACTGGTGGTTATTTGAAGGAGTAAAAAAAGCCCAGCAGATAAATAAATTAATTTACACGAACAGTACCACCAGACAAAAAATACAGAACTTCTTTTAAAAATGCTGAGGCATCTTCTAAACTATGGGATGGGATGGTATTAATTAATGTTTTCTACAAACATTTAAGCTTTGATGAGTTAATGGAAAACCTTGGTTTGTTTAAAACAAATCACTTGGATTCTATTAATGTGATCACAAATGAGTTTCAATTTTTTGCCCATGGATTCAGAAAAATTCTGAAACCTTGATATAGTAAAGATGCACAGTGAATAAGCTAGGCCTTATATCCTTGAACAGAAGCAATGTTTTTATTTCTCAGATGGTAACAGGCCTACATGAACGAAGAGAAACAAAAAAAATTAAAAACAAGGTAATGAGCAAGAGAAAAATCAAAATCACAGCATTACATTCAGCAGTGAAAACTGGTAAAAAATTTTCACATGTAAGCTGAAATATTTAAAGGAACAGTTACTTAGATGAAATGTCACACAGTTGGGATATATGGAGCAATATATGTTTATATTGAAAATTATATTTAACCCTCATTATAGGTTTCTGGAGAAGTAACGATTGTTTTAATTCAATCATACCTTGAATTCTGCACAGATCCTCTGTGCACAGATGACCACACATAACTACTGTAGAAACCTCAGGGTATGCGCACTCTGAAATTTGCCAGAACTCTATTGGATCATAACTTCAGCATCTAAAACTCCCTCACAGAGGGAATTTTGTGCCTCATGTGCCTAGTTATGACTTTTAACATTAATGAACACCCTGCAGAGGGACAGAGAGCCCACTTCAGCAGTTCTAATTGCTGAACTGAGGTGAAAAGAAAATTTGGAAATTTATTGGATCAAGCAAATTAATTATTTGGTACAGGGCCTTCTAAGAATGCTCATTCAACATGCATTAAATAGATGAATAGATTTTAAGAGCTAGTAGTCTGCAGTTCTCTTTCATAAAAAGTATCTTGTAGTCAGCAACAGAAATTGTCCACACAGATCAGCCGGGTAAGATTTGACATCTAGGGGAAAGCTGTACTGCAGTGCATTTCTTTAAAGGCTCCGAGTAGCACCTTGGAATGCCTGAGCTGGCAGAAAACAGACCTACAATGATCTCCCTCCAAAATTTTCAGGTTAAAGTGTATCTGAGGGGACACTATAATGTAGCAGTTACGTTTCTTTTACAAGTAAAGAGGGAGGTATGATTGAATAGCAATAATGCATTCTTGCACACATCAAAATGGAATAAGTGTGTTAGTCACCTGCAGGGATTACTAAAGAGACTGAATTTTACTAGTAAGATAATTCATTGCTCGACTGGACTTGGGGGACCTGTCTCCTACTGCAAAATGTTTCTCTTACTGAGACAAGGAACTTGCAGGCTTTCTTTGTGCAATGAGATGGAGGAGGCAGAAGCGGAGCCATGCAGGAGAAGTCAGC